GATCCAGGTCACATTTTCCAATATGTCGTCCTGGACTGGCCCACTACCGGCATCATTGAACAACATCTTGGTACAGTACAGTCGGTTGGAAACGATTCCTCATGCACTGATTTACGATATTCCACCCGAGCTAAGCACTATACTCATCGACGCATCGCCATTGAAAACCATTCCCGACAACGTTTTCAACGCTTGGAGTTTTGTGCAGCGACTGCAGCTGTTGAATGTAAGTCTCACGACTTTCCCCAATGGAATACTGAGTATGCCACACCTCACCGAACTCAACCTCCGGGGCAACAACATCACGTCGATGTTTCCAGAGTCCGCGTGGCCGTCACCTCTCACGATTGCTGGCTTGGCTGGGAATGGGCTAAAGTCTGTGCCATGGACTGCTGCCAAACGTGGAGTGAATATCGATTTGAGTGGCAACCCCATCGAAGATGCCACCACCTTGGACGCTGCCGAACTCAAACTTGTGCATCGGCGAAGTGTCATTCTGGACGACACACCGTACTGCAATGTCACTGAGGACACCACGTGCAAACACATCTGTGGCCCAGACTGCTTTGCGTTTATGGTGGGTGACTACTACTGCGACTTGGGGTGCTTTACACCTGCGTGTGGGTTTGACAAGGGTGACTGCGACGAGTTTGGGTTCTCGTTATCGTAGCGCTTAACTCTCCGTTTCAAATACTCTACTGTAGCACTATTAATAGTAATTACTCCGGAGTACTACTAAGGTAAATGATCGAATTCTCGGACACGATTGGCTAACAACTTGTTTTTCGACTTTGATTGGACATAAGTCAGTAAGAACCAGTTCCGACCAATAGGATACGAATGACCAACTTTTAACACCAATCATATTGCCACAAACAATAAAAATACACAGAGTTCCATCACAAACCACTCTTGCACCTAAATCCGTCAATATTCGAGAGGTTTCGCAACTTGCGTATTTCCCATTCCCATAGCATTATCCGGTTGTCTGGGAAATGGAGTGGGAGACCAAATATAGTCGTTTCGCAACTCGACTCCCATAAGCAAAACTATTAATAGAACACAAGTCCAATGGGCGTGTTATTGAAGTTCTCGCCAACATGACTACAGAGGAGTCTCAGCTTGCGCTTCGAGTGTACAAATGGGCAAAGCGCAAAAAGATGCACCCGACTACGATGATGACGCTACTCGAGTACGGTCTTGGCATCCCGGTGGAACGGCCCCTCATTCCAGATGTAAGATTTGACTGCAACATGCGTGATGTTGACGCGCACATGTCGTTCCGCTTTGATGTTCGTGGGGTTCTGCAACTGTCATCCTTGCTGGGTGTTCCTAATGTCGTTATCACTCCCAACCGAGATGGTGTGGTGGGTGTGGAGGCCATAGCCATTTTGCTCCGACGTCTCCGGTACCCCATCACGTACTACGACATGCTGTCAATGTTTGGCCGGTCTCGCGAACAACTCTGCCGTATTTTCAACTACATGGTGGCCTTTATGTATCAGCAGTGGGGACGTCATTTACTGCAACAAAAGAATTGTACGCTCCCGTATTGCCAGCTATGCTACTGCCGTTTCGAACAAGGGTTCACCATTGTCAAATGTATGGGCGTTCCCAGATGGGACAAAGATCGAATCGTGTCGTATCAGTGCCAGTACCAGTGGTGCAGAGGGTTTGAACCTCCAAAAGCGAATTTATTCGGGCCACAATCGCATGCACTGCCTCAATTTTTAAGGTTTGACCACCCCGGACGGTCTGTGCATCCACTTTTTTGGGCCATTGGAGGGTACTGTAGCCGACATGACGTGACCTTGCTGCGTGTGAGCAAATTGCAAGAGTACTTTGACGCCAACACCGAGGTCTTCCATGGGTACTATATTTATGGAGACCTGGCCTATCCAATTTCAAAGTGGATAATTTCTGGCTACAGAGGAAACAACTTGGATGAGCCCAAGCTGCTTTTCAATGCCTCCATGAGTCGTGTACGCCAAGGTGTAGAATGGAACTTTGGACGTATGAAAACATTGTGGGGTTTTATCACCTACAAGATGCAACACAAAATCATGCTGTCAAACGTTGAAAGTGTCGTCCTTGTCGCCATGTTTATGACCAATTGCAACTGTTGCTACTACGGTGGGAATCAAATATCGTCCTACTTTGATATACAACCACCAACTCTAAAAGAGTATCTAACATCGGAGTAATTACAAAGTGTTAATTGTGTACTGGTGTGTATAAAATTTACTTTCTACCATCAATTACAGATTTCAACAGGTTAGACACTTTTTCACTCTCAATGCGTGCTAGTGCCAATTGGTGTTCACGTTCAGCCTTTCTTTCATCACGATCCAACTCACGTTGTTTCAATTCAGATTCGTACTTGAACCGATCGAATTCCAGTTGCTTCACGCGACTTGCCAATTTGCGCTCGCTGTCAGCCTCAATCGCAGCCACCAAACTGTTGCGACGATTTTCGACCGCAGGTTTCTTTTTCACTTCGTCCACAAAAAAAGAAACCTGCGGTCGAAAATCGTCGCAACAGTTTGTCGACGTCGCTGCGACGTTTCATCGTTTGCATTACCATCTCTCGTACCAACATACCGCCTTGTTCGATCTTGTCTTTTTCGTCTTCCATTTTTACACGCTTGCTTGCTGCAGTGCTCTTGACTTCGTCCAGCAACGGCAGCAAGTCGTCGAGCAGGGTATGCTTCTCCAACTCCTCTTGGTCGACCCCTGAGAGTTTTGCAGATGCCGTGTCAAATTTGCGGTGCTCGTCTACCAGCGCCGTAAACCTATTTTGCACCTTGCGACCGTCGACGACACGATCGAAGTGTTCGCAGGCAACCAACTTGTCCGCCAAGGATTGCCAGGACTTCGTAACTTGACACTTATCAGCTGCAAAGGGTAGGTCGGCGGCGACTTGGATGAGCAGCACTACGTCTTCTTCGGGCGTCCAGTTGCGGCGTTTGTCGGTGAGGGCCATGTCAATTCGGTTGGTATCTGGGAATGGGATGGGTGCCCATACAAATGGCACATTCTCTGGGAAGAATAACTAGGTTTGGCAGGTTTCCCATAGAATAATTATGTTTTAGAGGTTTAAGATCTGGGAACGTCCCATATTAATCCGTTTTTATTCAAATTAAGTGGAAAATCACCACGCTGATTCGCCCGATCGTTTGGCGCCAAGTACAGCTAAAAGGGACTGAGATAACTGCGAAAAACTATACAGTTCGCAAATGCCACCCACACTCAGCTTCTGGAGAGCTGTTGCGCGAAGCTCGCCACTGAAGCGTTCATCCATATACAAGTATATGAAGATGAAAAGAGAGATGGGTTCTATTACGATTGGCAAACGTGGAGCTAAACCAGCCATTCCAGAGGACTTGGAGGAAGCCCTTGTCGCTTGGATAGTCGCAATGCAGTGCTCTAGCTGGCCTGATGAGCGATATGAAGTGGTCATGAAAGCTGGAAAGATTCTGTCGTATCACACCGGTGTGCCCAGAACGCTAAGCAACGGCTGGTTTGCTGGTTTCGTTCGACGGCATCATGACCTTACGACTCGTGTGGCGCAAAAACTGAGTCACGCACGGAACTCGGTCACCAAGGAAGGAGTCATGAAGTACTTTTTCGACCTCGTCAAGGGATGCATCGGCTTCGCATGCACTGCATCAGACGTCTACAACGTTGCCGAAACAAGCTTCAAGACCAAAGGATCTACGAAGTAGGTCATCGCTGAAGGGGTTCGAAGAATGCTTGGAAAGGCGAACAGACTGACTCCTATCACTTGACAATCGTAGCTGCCGTCGCAGCGGATGGAACTCCTGTACCTGCAGCGTTCATTCCTCCAGGCCAAGGTTGCGCGACCTCCGTCTTAGAGACATGCCCAGTAGCCGTCGCCATGGTGTCAGCGACCCCCATGGCATTTATGAATGGTGACCTATTTGAAAGTTGGTTAGAATGTTTTGGTGATTGGAAGCTGTGTCGACGCAACGCTCGACCCGCTGTGCTTGTACTCGACAATTGTTCATCCCAACTCACGACCAACAGCTTACCCATTTGTGAAGCGTACGGGATCTTCATTGTTCGGCTGCCCACAAACTCCACGCATTTACTGCAGCCGCTTGATGTCGCCCTGTTTCGTATATTCAAGAGGACGATCACGCAAGGTGTAACCCACATCTCCAGGTCACGAACACGACAACGTTGCTTCGCCAAACCGCACTACAAGTGGCTGGTGAGGCGTTCAATGCAGTTTTTCCGGCGGTTGGGGTTGAGAAGAGAAACAAGGCTGAGAACGGGTTTCGTACTTGTGGTATATGGCCGTTGTCGTTGCCGAAGATGCTGAATCGGTTGGCTCTGGCACAGGTGAACTCCGTGAGAAGTGCCTCTGCAGCATGGTTGAAGACGAAGGAGCACGTGAGAAAGGAAGTATTGACCTTACCGCCGCAGAAGAAGGGAATTAAAGAACGGAAGCGTGTGTCCACTGACCTGGAATGGTACACTCGGGAAGAACTTCATGCATCTGCAGTCCGTCCAGTCAAGCAGAAGTAATTTTTTAATGCAATTATTAAAAAAAACTTGTAATATAATGACTTTTGTCCACCATCGGTATTATAATACGTGCATTGTATTTGGGGCGTATATTTTGTAAATTATTTTACTTCAATACAAAATGTACGGTAATTCTATGTCCGAGAATTAAAGAAATTGTCATCACTAATTTTACTCCATGTATTTATTTTAGTACAAATCGCAATTATCATTGATTGAGTATCTACGAGGCAGTAAAAAACTCCAGGAATTGTATTTTTGAGTTGGATAGGTCGGCCGATAATTTTGGTTCAAGAATGAGGCGGAACGTGTTTTGATTGGCTCTACCCCATTCCAAAAGTTAGTTGGAACAGGTTCTAACTAACAGTAAACATCATCTCAAAAATCTGAAAGTACCGGGTCATTCTAGTGGCGGCCGGAGATAGTGGACCATGATTGGTCAAAGATAAATATATGTCTAACCAATCAGACGCCGTAGTGACGGTAAACCTATTCTCGTACTCCGTAATAAACGAGACGCACTCGGTGAATCTCGAACGTGGCGACCAATAAAAAAGTCCATCTGCGTGTTCCACGAGGTACTCAGACTCGCCGTTCGGACGTTCCGTTTGTCCGAGACCTTCGGGATCGGGGATTCCACATTCGTGTACGCTAAGACTCCGTCAGGGCACTGGACCCCACCATCGCGCGTCGCTCCTCCTCCAGCAGCATACGGTCGCTTAACACTTGTTCCGTCCACATACGGCGTTCTTCCTCAATTTTGAGACGTTCTTCCGACATCCGTACCGCAACTTGAGCTTTCACTTCGTAACACTCTTTGTTCAGCGTCGTTTGGAGAGCGACCAATCTCTCCGTCGTCACTTCGAGAAATTGTCGCTCCACGCACAGCGCAGCCCATGCTGGATTCGTCGTTTGGTGATTACCTTTGTGGTCGTGTACCCTAGTGACATTTGCCTATGGCATTTGGTTCACTCTATTGATGCCTTAATGGCTGATATTGATATTTATCATGCATTATTTGTACCTGCTTTCTAAACAAACACTTCTCATTCTTCGCCTTCATCCTCGCCCTCGACCTTGTGGCGACTTGTGCACTCTATACGTACTTTTGCTTATCGTAATTCTACTTGGGTTTTTGCCCCCTATTTTTAGCCACACTATCTTATTCTTCGGTGCACGTATGCACTTTATGGTATTTACCATGCTCTTTGAGCACTTTTGCATGTACTACTTCGTCCCAAATTACCTCTATGTTTCACCTCGAGTTTTGACACAAAATCATTTTTATTATGAGGATTTATTTAAATTTGTCCTAAATCAGACTGATGATCTTTGTGTAGCATGAAGTGCGTCTTATGAACAAAACAAGCAATTAGTCGACCCAATTGGCCCAAACTTCTTACATGAGCATTGTCAATATAGAGGACGAGAACTGCCACCATGGTTATGGCATGGATGTCTGCCTGACTTAAGCAGAACGCAGGCGATGAGTACTCATATAGTATAATTATATTATAGAGTTGAAGTTACCTCTGTATATGCATATTGTTACCCATTTGACCATACATTAATCAAGTCCGGTGAGTTATTTAAATTCTGTGCTTATCGAACAAACCTGTAATATAATTATGAGCAAGTAAAACACCGAATTCCCAGTTTCTCATTGGTAAATTTCGTAGAAATTGGGTAAATGAGTCAAATTTTGAGGTGTGTCGACGTTGATACGTATGGAATATACGACAAATTCATCCGACATAAGAGAGGTTTTGCAACTTATCTTTATCATTGTCATCACACAGTAGTGCCAAAACTGGAAGGGTACCTCTATGAACTAATTAAAGATACTGTAAAACCTAATGCTCAGTCATTGGTTTTGGCGAAATGTGAAGACACTTATCTTTATCCTCACAAGGCCACGAAGTAATGTCAACACCGAGCAAGCGCCGCAGCTTTTCTGAAGAAGACGACATCATGCTTCTCCGACAAGTTTCTCTGGAGATGCAGTTCCAAGCGCGGCGTGGCCTTGTCATGGAGCGATGGAATTCGGTTGCTGCTTCCTTACGTACATCAGAGGACTTCAGCCGGTCCGACATCGACGCCAAGAGGTTGTGTAACCGCTTCATGCTGCTCTTGGATGCCTATCGCAAGAGTGACAAGCAGTCCGAGCGAGCATCAGGAATTGACGAGGAGTTCACCGAGAAGTCAATGCTTCTCGACGACCTACTTGCTGCCTACGACGACGTAAAGAACACCGATTTGCGTCGCACGGAAGAAAGCCGACTAGCCGCGGAGCACGTCGATGCAATGGGTAGCTTGGTGCGTGAAGAAGCACTGCAGTCCCTCGGAAAGCGAAAGCGTGACAAAGAAGATGACGATGGCGCTTCTGGAGGAGGTATATTTATGAAAATGTTTACTCTGATGCACGAACAAGCAAAGGCCGACCTTGAGTTCAAAAAAGAAAAATTGGAAAGGAAAGAGAGGAGAGGCGCCAGGAGCTAGAAGAAAGACGCATTGAACGACAAGTGTTGGTGGAGCAAAATCGACAACAACAAGAGTCCATGATAATGTTGATTAAAATGTGAATGGACAAGTAATAATTTGACCTTGGTATTCTCATTGATAGATAGCATTTCTGGAAATTAACAAACACAAACAAATACTCTTTTGTATTAGATATCAATTATCTGTAACGTGTCTAGGTATTCACGCAACGAGGGTGACTTCAGATTGAAATAGTCGCTGATTTGATTTCCACCATGATAGCAGCAATGACAATTGGTCAAAAGCATCGCGATCGCAACTACATTTGCAACTGGTGACAACCGAATCTTTGCCAACATTTTGAACGTAATGTAGGACCGCATTGTCTTGAGTAGCTTGATATTCCACTCGACGGATTGCCTCACGCGACTCATCCACTTGTTAAATGCAAGCTTCTGCGCCGACAAGTTGTTGCCTTTAAACCCAGAAATTAGGTAGGGTACAATACCGTAGGCGGGATCGCCATACATCAGCTTGCCATCAAACACACGCGATGTTGACCCAGGTATGTGATCAATCCACTGAGGCGGAGCATTGTAGTGTCGTGTCGTCGCCCTTCCACAGGGCCGAAAAAATGCACACACAGGCCATCTGGAACGATGACGGCTTGGTAGTTGAGGTAGTGAATGCGCTTATGGGCGCTGTAGATTTGCTTCTGCAAGTTATCCTCGGTCCCGGAGGCCGTGATGCGGCACGTTTGAACTTAGGTGCCGTCGATGAATCCAAAAACGTTGGACAGTGGGGCACCCTTGGACGCAACAGCAGCACAGTACCGGTTGATATTTTTTTGTTTTTTGAAGAACAGCAACGACCCCCAACGCTCGTATAGGTAGTTGACCACGTGCAGGAAAATTTCACACAATGACGAACGCGAACGGCCAAAGGTCCTCGACATTGTGTGGAACCGGACTGGAAAGGCCAACCGTCCCAGTAAAATGCACAGTGCTTCGTCGTGGTGCACCCGGATTCGATTACTGGTAATAACCACAGCAGGCAATCCTAGAACATATCCCAACTCCTTGATGCCAGCGACATCAAAGCGGTAGTTCAAGGTTGCGTTTGCATTTGTCGTAGACTCCAACGAGAAACGAATGGCAGGGATGATGGGCCGTTCAATTACGTTCGAAGCAATAATCGCCAGAAGGGTATGGCGCTGACGCGACGTTGTCGATGGAGTCCCCTTCATCGGAGAGGTGGTCGACGCGAACGTTCTCCGTCGATCGTGATCGACACATCAAGTTCCAAGACAAGGTGAGGAACAAATGCGTGAACCCAGCGCCTAGCTTGGTAAGACTTGCACGACACAGTTCTTGGTACTGGTGGTACCTGAGTGGCTGTTTTCCACCCGGCTTTATGGTCCCCGTTTGGGTCTCAGACGCACACAATCGTCGAATTCCTAGTTGTAGTTGAATTTTTGAAGAAGCAGATGTCGTACCTTGATAGATTGCAGTGGCATCAGTGACGAAACCAGCCGGAAGGGCCACATTTTGCCTGCTGTAGTAGTCCTTGATGGCTGATCGGTAGCCTGACAGCGTCGACATAGAGACACCTGCGCCCTTGTACTTGTACAGTACGAACTAAAATGTCGAGGTTGATGGACCCATCTGGGTTTTTAGTGCCGGAACGACCGGACTCACGAAGCCAGGGGACAACTTGCCGTACACCACTGAGGTAGCCCTTCTTGGAGCCCTCCGCTAAACGATTGTCTCGTAGGTCCTGCACCGTTATGGATTGCTGTCGGGTTGACACGTCGTTACGCAGTTCATCTTCCATGGTCGAAGTCCAGGTAAAATTTGCCAATCAATTGCAACAGGACACTTGATCCGACTTTTTCATGTAAATTTCACCACGAAAGAATTTGATTCAGTATAGAAAACGATTTCCAACGAACGAAAAAGTCGGACTCCTCATCCGACGATCGCTTGATTTTTGTATATTTCATCCGACTTTTTCCTGCTAATGCAAAACAAATAATACTTCATCATTTTCATTACCCTCAAAACGACAAATGTCGATTTTGTGAGGATGGGGGTAATGTACGGATGAGTTGTTTTGATTGGTCAAAGTTCTGTCCGGTTACACTTGTAAAGTTACAATGCAAAACTGAAATATGGTCAAAGCACAGTGCCACTCGGGACCAAAATTCGTAGAATTTGCACACGCGCAAGCACGGGTATGTCTTTTCGTCCACGAGGTGTTAGATTTGACAGTCCTCTTCCATATTCGCTTTCTTGTGCCATCGTAGAAGCACCGACTGGTACCGGTCATTGCCGTCGAACACAATCTGGACGTCATTGCTGCACAATTCAGCACTTCGCTGATTCGGAAACAGCCCAAGAAGCCCGCCGCGAGCACAAGACGCAGCAGGGATCCTAAGGAGGGATGTAGGCCTGATAGGCCGTTCTTCAGGATGGAGCGTGAGCGCGTGGGCCTTCTTTTCTTCGTCGACGTTATTCGTCTTATTAGACTTTTGAAGGCCAACGATGTATCGTCGGGCATTGGTGTCTTCAGCAGGATTGGGGGATACACTCTTGCTGCCAAAGAACGCAACCAGAGCGGATTTGACAAGGTCGATTGTCCGGGCCTTCTTTCCGCTCATGTACAAGTGATGAAATAGATCGGTACAGTCGTCTGTACTAGTACTAGCAGCCTCAGGGGCTAAACCCCCTTTATGTGATTGCAGAAACGACTCAAACTGTTTCTGGTACGTTCTATAGGCACGCCTTGTGGATGTACCGTGGATCGACTCTTTGATGGTCTTCTTTGACGCTGCAGCCACCGGTGGCGACTGGGTTGGATAATAATGGAAACTAGTATAAAACCGCTTCTGCTACATGTATTATGTCCAATCATATTGTGTTATTGCGCTGTGTTTGTGATATGTGTACCTCAACGACATTGGCATCGACCAATACAATTGTTTGAAATATTTCCATCCAATCATATAATGCACTCATGTCGGTCATCCAATCCCCTGGTCGAAATTTGTCCGTTTGATGTCGGATGCCACCTACATGTAAAGATAATTTGGGACGGAGTAGTAAGCATCAACTTAGGTTTTTGCCTTATTCTATGAGTAAAGATGCACTTATGTGCTCAACACTACTTTATGTGTGTTCCTGTCCTACCTTCTTCGCCTATGTTCTCAGGGTGGCTTTTGTAGTGACATTACATGTCTTTATCATTTTTGTGGCCTTCGTGATTTTTTCGCTAAGCCCTTTTGCCTTTGGCACTGCCTTCTCCTTGAGAACTTCGTATCGAAGGCCTTCAGTAGTCCGTTGCCCAGTGGGGTGGCTATCAAAAAGGGGCACTTTGGCCGTTCTGGCTTGCCTTTTTCGCTGAGATTCGGTCACATACGGATAAGATCCGGTCATCCGGAAGTATCCGGTGTGTGTTAGAAGCTGGACTGTTTCTGCCCAATCATAGGTCAGCTAAGCAGTCGGTTAATGATCACTTCTTGTTTTGTCCTCGACCACATAATAGTTCCTCGTCGTCGTCCCTCCTCAGTGTACTTCCTCGTCCTTCTTGACAGTGCTAGTGTCACATGAATGATTGATTACTACAGTACAGTAGTACCTCAAAGTAATACACTTACGTTAACGTAACAGTACTACGTAGTAGTACGAGACTTCACGGTAGTGTCACCTCGAGAGCTGCGACTACGATAACCCCAACCCTTCAACAAGATGATTTATGCAATACTGGTTGTGATTATAAACACAATATTGTGATCACGAGAACCCCAACCCGTCGCAGTCGCCCTTGTCGAACCCACACACAGATGTAAAGCATGCCAAGTCGCAGATGAAATCTCCCATCATATACATAAAGCAGTCTGGGCCACACATGTGTTTGCACGTGGTGTCTTGACTGACATTGCAGTACGGTGTGTCGTCCAAAATGACACTTCGCTGTTGCACCAGTTTGAGTTGGGTAGCCTCCAAGGCAGTGGCACCTTGGATGGGATTGCCGCTCAAATCGATTTTCACTCCACGTTTGGCAGCAGTCCATGGCACATACTTAAACCCATTCCCAGCCAAGCCAGCAATCTTGAGCGTTGACACCCATGCGGATTCTGGAAACGCCGTCGTGATCTTGTTGCCCCGAATGTTGAGTTCCGAAAGGTGTGGAAGACCCAGCATCCCAGTGGGGATGGCTGCGAGACTTAGATTCGACAACTGCAGCCGCTGCACAGAACTCCAAGCTTTGAAAACGTTGTCGGGAATGGTTTTCAATGGCGCAGCATCAATAAAGAGAATCACGAGGTCGGCGGGTATGTCTTCCATGAGTGCTGGCGGAATTGATTTCAACCTACTGTACCGCACCATGATGCTGTTTAATGAGGGCGGAATAGGACCAGGCCACGCCGACATGTTGGAAAATTGAATGACCAGCTTACTGAGTTGGCCAAATCGCGCCATCGAAGAGGCGTTAAGGCCATTTTCCAAATCGCACCTCGAGAATTGCACGAAGACCAACCTCGTACCAATGACTGACGGATCCAAGAGGGGGGTGGGGTCATCAATGCCAAGGGTGTGGCAGTTGATGTTGGCGTAGGCGCAGTGACACCCGAGGTCCACCAACGGCTGCATGTTCGACACACAGTACGACGGACATGGCTCTCGATACAACAAGCACCGTCCCAGCAAGATAGCACACACGACCCCCAATCCACTGCTCACAGCCAAGTTCAACCGTCGCATGACACGATTCTGTTGGTTTCGCTGCAAAACCGACGATTGATCCTTGTTGGAATCTGCCGAGTGGGCAGTGTTTGCGAGCCGGCAGATGGTATAGTATGTCGACAGGTGCATGACATGCTTGACGAAAAAGTCCACAGGGCCTGTGATCCCGAAGAGTCTGGCAAACAGCAGCGTCTCGGTCGCCCACCGATTGTCGCGGACCAAGTTTGGGTTGACTACTATGAGTTCCAACGCTTGTATCGCCACGGAAAACATGGGATGACCACACGACAGCGTGAAACTGAACAACGCGTCAGCATAACACACCAGCATGTATTTGGTTTGGATGTTGTTGATGAAGATGAGGCAGGGCGACAAGACGGAGTACAAGAGCACAATCACAGCGTACGACACTACCTTGGTTGGGTCGACCATCGTGCTCAGCATTTCATACGCTTGTCTGCCTTGACAAAGGATCACGATGAAGTTGAACACGATGAACACGTGGTCAAACCACTCTGTAGCAGCGCGCTTGGAAAGCCGACGCACAATGATTCTGGATTGCGTTTTGGAACTGAGTTTGCGCACTGTCACAGCTCGAGGCAGAGGCTTCGATAATGAGGTGGCTGGCTTTCGACGCCATACACTGGGGGCCACGAGAGCACCAACATGCATGAGAGAAATCATGGTGTGCCCCACAGCTGTGACTTTAGGCTGGTACAACTTTGCACTGACAATACTAGGCCCGGCTGAAAACAGTATGATGAGCACCCACACGACGAGGTACACCATGGTAGCGACGTGCAACGAGCAAACGACGACGCGCAACGCTAAGTTTCGCCTGTCGTGGGTAACCTTTGGAACCACGACTGCAACCGCTTCAGACACCACTCTACAGTTTGGCATCGTTGAGGGCAGTTGTTCGGTTCGAGTTGTATTTTGAGAACTCCAAGTAGTTAAGTATACAAGTCAACGCCAGTGGCGTTTCAGCGGACGAATCACTTAGTCGGTTTCAAATGACACCGATCTGAACATGTAGGTCGTATAGTGGTCGTTGTAGCGGTCGTCGGCGCTGGCGTCGATGCGCTTGACAGTGCACACAACTTACTATTGACTTATACACCAAGAATTCCAGGTATCCAACTAACCGGTGCAATCATGCTTACCCTGCGCACGATGGACACTTCAAGCGAGTGAACGTGGATGGATTGTGTTTAAAGTCCATGCCCAAACGTTGAGGTACACTGTACCCATCTTCATAGAGACGGGCTACTGTACCAGTGCATATTTCGTCATCTGTGGGGATCACAAAAGTGCTTCCATCCTGAATGGAGAATATTGACAACATGTATGAGTACACAAGTGAGACTTCATATCGTCGCCATGTCTCGGCATTTCAATCGAGGGATGTTCCATCCGACACAATGGATCTTGATCTTTTTGTCAAACACATATGCTTGGCTATCGTCATCTCCATATCCTCCTGGTATATTCTTCAAGGATGCGAATCAATCGAGCCAGGTTGTTTGGTTTCATTTTATGGTCTATGTTATTATCCTCGGCGCGTGAATCAAACGACTACGGGGCGTGGCGAGGGTGGCTATTAGTCCACCAAACTTGAAGCGCTTGCACTTGGCTGGACGTGAGGAGATGCGCGACTTCGTCGTGCTAGTCCAAGCATGTCGCGTCGTCCGTCGTGTCTTCCGCTCGACGGCGGCACACGTTCGCAGGCAAGGCGTCGATGGATGCCACGTCCGATAACGCTGCCATGACCACGAGCAGCTCGTCGTCTTTGGCTGGTCCGTACTGCGCCGTCCACGGGGATGCTCCATCGACGTAGGACGCGTCAAACTTTAAAAACGCATACGGCAACTGGTCCAGCTCATACGCGAGCCGCACGTTTTCCTTGGCGCCTCTAGATTACCCGTGTTGGAATCAGGTGGTGGTGATGAGGTCCCATACTGTGAAATATGCATGGCCTTGTCTGCGCAGGACTTGTTGACGGCAAAGAGGCTGTCGTCTTGTCGCGAGGCACTCTGGTGGTTCCACTCCCGAGACGCCTTCAGCGACCGCGACAGAGCCCTCGGTCTGTCCAGGTTGAACTTGGAGTAGTCGAACGTGTACCACTGCCTCGAGCGCCGTGCCAGCTACTGATAGGCCGCGTTGGTCGACGTACGTGGCAGTATGGTTCAGAAACGATGTCGATGCGGCGAAAATGCGATCATGATCTTGCTAAGCTGTTGAAATTACGCCATCGCGGAGGCGTTGCGCACGTACACCAATCCCGTGCCAAACATTGTCGGATCAAAGAGGGGGGTGGGGTCATGGATGCCAGTGCTGTTGCAGGTGATGTTGACGTAAACGCAGTGATACCCCAGGTCAAACAAGGGCTGCCTGTTGGAAACACGATACGATGGACAAGGCACACGATACAATAAACAAGGTCCCAGCAAAACAGTGCATACGACCGCCAAGCCTTCTCACAGCCAAGTTCAACAGTCGCAAGAGGCGATTCTGATGGTTTTGCTGCAAAGCCGATGACGATGATGCTTTGTCTGTCGAAGGGGGTGAAGTACTCGAGTTCGTAAGCCTCCGTGTAGGGAGTTGATAACGCAGAGGAAATTGTAAAACTGATTGATTGGCGTTATCTACATCTACATGCATGACTACTGTGACTATACTATATCTAATGCTATATATACGTGCGCTCTGCAGAAGGAACTTCTGGTGTCCATGGCCGAGCACGCCGCACGCCAATCGAGCTTGGTCCTAAACTGACGTCAACAGTGACGTCTGTTCTGATTGGTCGATAACCCTATGACGCCACTGGAGTGACGTCGTTACACTCCGAATGGAGAAGAAGGTGGACAGGTGCATGATATGCTTGTCGATGAAGTTTACAGGGCTCGTGATCCCGAAGAGTTGGCTGGAGAAGTGTCTCGGTCGCCCACTGGTTGTTGTAAGCCAGGTTTGGTTTGATCAAGATGAGTTCAAACGCTTGAACCACAGCAGAAAGCACGGGATGACCATACCACAGTGTGACGCTGAACCAAGCGTCGGTTTA